CGTTACTTGTCTGGATCAGGCAAGAGGATATTATTGCAAATGGCAAGCGCAGTTGCGTTTAACCCACGTAATGTGCAGAGACGCGAGAAAGTGCATGTCATTTTAGACACAGGGAGTCAAAGGTCATACATTACAGAGAGAATGAGAGACAGATTAGCATTACGTCCATTAGGCCAGCAAGACATTTCAATATTAGCCTTTGGCTCAAGGGAAGGACAGGCCCAGTCCTGTGATTTAGTTAAGATTGGTCTTGAGACAAAGTCGGGACCAAAGCTTGAGCTGAAATTACTTTCAGTCCCACACATATGCGAGCCTTTGTCAAGTAGCGCGGTACATTTAGAGAAGTATTTTGCCTTGCAAGACAGTGACCTAGCAGACACTTTGACATACACAGGTCCTATAGAGCCACAGATCCTGATTGGTTCTGATCAATATTGGAATATTCTTACAGGGGAGATTGTTCGCAGTGAGAAAGGACCAGTGGCTGTGCATACACGCCTGGGTTGGGTCATTTCTGGACCAGTCGAGACTGATATCTGTGATACCAAGCCAACATCTTTAGTAACACATATTCTTAAGGTTGATTTGGAGCCAGAGAACAAAAGATTGGATAATCAACTAAAAAGATTTTGGGAACTTGAAGCACTGGGGATTGCAGATAAGGAAGACTTTGTGCATGACCAATTTAAAGAGATTGTAGCCTTCAAACATGGAAGGTATGAAGTATCCTTGCCTTGGAAGAATCCTTATGTGACATTGCCTGATAATTTAGAGCTTGGTATGAGGCGGTTGAAGAACTTATTGAAACGGTTGAAGCAGAACCCTGAATTACTTAAAGCCTATGACACTGTCATAAGAGATCAACTGGACAGAGGAATTGTGGAAGTAGTGGAGAATCCACTGAAAGCAAATGTGACCCGATATGAGAAAACCAGGCTATCTGCGGGAATTATCATTTTGAGCTATGGGCTCATAATCACGAAAAATCTTTACCTGGGCGAAATTCATTTTATCACATAAACATGTTATATAAACAAAATCCTTTCATTTGATACCAAAATCAGGGGTAGCGAAGCCTTCTTTGCCGAGTTATAAGCCCTTCGACATTTTACCTTGATTGTGCACGGAGAATGTTACACGGAGCGACCACGGAATAAAAACGGAGGGCTTTAATGCGTCATTAGGTAACCATGGAGTCTTTATAGCAACTATTTAAAGTATAACAAAGACGAAGAAGACTACTTATAAAAACTATGGCTACAGAAAGAGACATTGCTCGCTTGTTAAATGAAGAAATAGGTCCTCGAGACAGTGACTACGTTGCTTCAGTTCTTGGGGACTACTTTTGTGATGAAACTAGTGGTAAGCTTATTCATAACACTGTTTACATACTAACTGTGAATAGCGGTTAGCTATCACAACAATGACATTCCATCACCTGTATAAATGCACAATATTATTATATTAAACTTAGTTATACAGTGTATTTGTTAATTGATAGAGACAGACTATGAAGCAGTAGAAGATATGGAAAAAGAAGAGGTAGAGGAAGGGAAAGAAGAAGAGAAAGAGACAAAAGATTGTGATGAAGATATTAATCCACCACTGTTTGATCCTGAGGTGGCTGTGGAGCTACAAGTATCAGATCTTGATTTAGAATCAGCGATGCCTGATGCTCCAGCTACTTCAACTACTCACTCTGGTGATGACATGAGAAAGGAAGACCTACAGGAGGAAGAATTATCAAAGTTCTTTGAACATGGATGTGGTTGCTCAGATAATTGCTATGCACTGTTCAGTCACTCTTACATAAAAACATATAGATGTGACATACAAGCCATGGCAAAGCCTGTTCAAGAAATTGCTATTATGAGTCAAATGGCAGCAACATCTACCATGGGGGGATTGTCGACTGGCAACCACAGGAGACAGAAAGAGAGAAAGAGGCAATTTTTTATGTTCATGCATCAAGGTCATAAGGTTTGTAACTATGAGTGACACAACACAAAATTAATCGTTTTTCAACTAGATATGTAGAGTAACATTTCTGAAGCTACATGCATGTGGCAAAAGCAGGTTTGAGGAAATCATAAAAAACTACAGAATGAATGGATTAATACCAAGGTATGAATGGACTTACAAATTCAATGTTATGTACTTAACTTTATTAGAGTTCACGGAAATGCTGGAAAGACACCAAACCATGCTTTGACTTATGATGATATTCTCCGGGTTGTTGCTTTCATCAGAAATTATGCTGAAGTCCATGGAATCAGTCTTCCTGGAAGAATGCCTGGAATGAAAAGTTACGAGAATAAGAAGTTCTTACCATGCAGTACATCTAAAAGGCAGGTATACTTAGAGTATGCGGAATCATGTGAAGGGCTTTATGTGAAAGCATGTGCTGAAACAACATTCAACATGTTGTGGCGACGCTACCTGCCTTATATTGAAAAAATGAAGCCTATGTCTGACTTGTGTGCCACTTGTAAAGAGATAAGTGGACTGATTATAAGAAGTGCTAACATGCAATCAGATGAAAGGATAACTGAGGTAAGTCAGTATTGTAATAACACAAGTATTATTTAGAATTTTCAGGCAATGCAAAAGGCACTAGATCACAGAAGTCTAGTAAAAAAGGAAAGGGAGTACTATAAGGATGTATTAAAAGAGGCACAATTATTGTTAAAAGGGCTGTATACTGATGCAGCAAACAATTACAATCCCCCACTAACAAGGCCACTTGCTATGTTAAATATTGTAGCACATTATAGCTTCGATTATGCTCAACAGGTAACATTTTTATGATAATTATGAAAGTGTATCTAGCTTACTTACTTTTTTAAAGGTTCACTATCCTTCAAGTCCACTACAAGCAGGTCCAATTTATTTTCTTACTCCCAGGAAATGTGGCATATTTGGCGTGTGCTGTGAAGCTATCCCTCAGCAGGTTAATTTCTTGATCGATGAATCATTCGACACTGGTAAAGGGGCAAATCCTGTCATAAGCATGGTACATTTTTATTTGAAGAATCATGGCCTCAACTCAGTCAGTATCCATTTCAATGCTGACAACTGCACAGGGCAAAATAAAAATAATACAGTTATTCAAGTAAGTATATTACATGCACAATAATGAACATTTTAAATGTAATTCTTTATTTATTTTAGTACCTCTTATGGAGAGTCATGACAGGACTCAATGCGTCCATTTCAATATCCTTTCTGCCAGTTGGACACACAAAATTTTCTCCAGACTGGTGCTTCGGACTATTAAAGCAAAAATTCCGTAAAGCAGAGGTGGACTCATTGGATGACTTCATTCAAGTTGTAGAACAATCATCTGCTGTGAACAAAGCCCAACCAGTAGGAAGTAGCAATGGTGAACTCATTGTAGAAACACTTGACTGGTGTAGTTACTTTGCTACATTATTCAA